TCTAACCCCAGGCTGCCTGAGCCATTAACCCACACAACTTGGGGCAAGACTTCTTTCAATGTCTTTCACCATAACACACACATTTAGGCTCAAATATACTCAGTGAAAGTCTTTTTCCTTTGTTTGCACTCACCCTACAAACATGCACACAGGCCCCTGCTTTCTTTTCTGACAGCTCTCTTGTGGTCGACAAGCCTCAATAACTCATTGCCTAACCACCCTAGACTTTTTCTCTCCATTGTTTTTGGCTACTGTCTCTGCTGATTTGAAAGCGTGAAGGATTATTTTATGTACACCAGGAAAATAAATATTGAACAAGTTCTTTTGTCAGTAAATATATTTCTAATGGGCTTACACACCTTAAGTCAGTAACAACCAAAATAATCCACAAATTGCAAATATTTCAAACATAGTAGTGCATAATTGAATTGTGTGTAATAAAGTGGAATGACACAAGAAATAAATATTGTAGACATAATAAAAACTGTCTGCAAAAATGTTAAAAAAGCCAAGAATCCAGTTGGAATCTGCCAGTATTTAAAAAGCTACCCTTCAGAATAGCAGTGCAAAATAATAGGAAAGTACATCTTTTTACCATAAACCACCCAATATAGTAAATGCTCCTCACAAGATTTTGGAAGGATCTCTTGAACAGACCTTTGAAAAAGAACTGGAGTTAGCAGTGGCATTACTTATAAGTAATATATAAGTTATATATTATATTATATTATATATAAGTAATGCACTCAACCATTTCTATTCACCGCACAGGACTCCACTGCTGAAGAAAAAAACATTCTGGAGCTTATTTAAAGTGCTTAAGCATGAAGCTGAACATCAGGACAGGCCAATGAAATAGTGATAAAACGTAGCTTTGTCAGATGAGACCAACATTCAGTTCTTTTGATGTCATTGCACACACCATGTATGTTGGAGGAATGGCAGTACAACACTCCAAAAACACCACGCCAACAGTGACATTTACTGGTGGGAACATCAAGGTTTGGGGCTGTTTTTCAGTATATGGTACTGACAGATTTCAAATAATTCAGTGAGACATCCTTAATCACAATCTGAATGACCTGACTTAAATCCAATTAAAAATCTATTGAAAGAACTTGAAGATCCAAGCACATAGAAGAGACTATAAAATTTCTTTGTATGGGTGCATTACTGTGATTGTTACCAATGCCCAATAGCTACATTATAAAAGCATTTACTGATAACAACATTGACTAGTTCAATAGTTATTTTCCCTGCTGTATGTGTGTCTCTTGAGGTGTTATAAACACACGTCCATAAACAGCCAGGTCATGGTTGCCTGTTTGTGTGGGAAAGTAGTAGATGTGTGTATGTTCATGGGTCGATCTGTCAAAGGCTGTATTTTTGTTAAAATAGAAACTCCCTCGCGCAACAGCGTTCAGATCACACAATCAGAACAGAGGTTTAGAGGTCAAACTGGGCCAGATGACCCTTTCCTCCCCTTTCAGGCCTTTCCTCACCTCCTTTTTAATGCCTCAAAGTGCCTCACTGTAACAACACACCTCCCCTCACACACACACACATCACTGAGATATACAGTGCAGTCTCCAACCACAGCATATAAAACTGCATCCATTAGCCATTACTCGCTCGGTATTCCTCGTAACACATATAAAGTACAGCCGAACACACACATCTTTTATTCCGGGTCTCATTCCATCTTTTTTCACACGCGGCTCTGACATAGCTTAGAGTGTCGCTCGCATTAACAAAGAGAACCACCATTTCTACATATTTGTCTTTCCTTTATAAAAAGGTTTTTTTTATTTAGCATAAATGTTGAAGCCAAGGGTGCCCGGCTACCATGGCAACCAAATTAAACGGAGGATCTCTTCAGAAAGCAGAAATCTAAATTATTCGGACTCTTTTATGAAGGGGAAAATGAAAATTCTTTCCACTGTACAGAGACCGCTTCACTGTAAAAGCAGAAGAAAGGAACTGAGAGGGGGAAGAAAAGATGAAGAAAATGTCATTGTTTTTTGGGATCTGACCATGTAGTTCAAAGGCATATCATTTACTATTGAAATTCATAGGTTGTTTCAAGACACTGAGCATATTGTACATAAAGGAATGATGTAACTGCAGTGTCTCCACAACATGAGATAAACCTATTGCGTTTGAAAGACGCCACATTGTGTGTGTCTGCAAATCCTAAACCAAAACCAAACCCTGCACAGGAATGATGAAATCCATAGGATGGAAGCTTGGGATTAGGTGCGACCTGTTTCTGGTGCCATGAATGATTTTATCTGTTTGAAGAGGATGTTTAGGGAGAACACCATCACTACGGGCCAGTCTAAGCTGACATATGTAAGTGGGGATACATGGGGTACATTCTGAATACGTGTTGCCAAAGCCTGTTTGCAGTTGGCTGAATGCTAATTTTTCAATTTTACCCCGAGTCTTGGGTATGTGTGTATCCGTCTATAGGTGCACCTTAATACATTTGAATACTCTTGAAAAGCAATGTCCTTCAGTAATGTATTTCAAAAACTGATATTGTACAGATTCATTATACAATGACTGATATATTTCAAGTATTTATTTCCAATAATTACAATGATTGTAGCTTACAGCTAATAAATAACAAAATTATGTTTTTCAGACATTTAGAATATTACACAAGGCCTTTTGAAATGCATACTGTACAGAATATGCATTCAGTACTTGGTTGGGACTCCTTTTGCATTACATTATTGCATTAATTCCACATGACATGCAGCCTGTGACTGCTGAGATTTTAAGGAATCCACATTGCTTTAATAGTGGCCTTCAGCTTGTCTGCATTGTTGACTGTGGTGTCTCTCATCCTCCTCTTGAAAATACTCCGTAGAGTTTCCTGTCCAGGCAAACGCAGTGATACCATGATTACACCAGGCATTGGTACTTTTAGCAGTGTGGGCAGGCACCAAGTCCTGCTAGTAAATTAATTCAGCATCTCCACCTCCTCATGAAGTACTCTATCTTAGTAGGTGTCTTTGCTGACTTTGGACATGATAAAACACAGTAACCAAGATATGGCTCCCTAAATTATCACTGACTGTGGAGACTCCATACTGAACCTCAATCAGCTTGTATTCTGTACCTCTCGACTTTTTCTCCAGACTATGGAACTTTGATTTTCAAGTGAAATGCAACATTAAAAATAAACAAGTAAAAAAATTTGGACTATTGAGCAACAGTTCAGTCCTTTTTCTCCTTAGGTTAGATGCTTCTGATGTTGTCTGTGGTTCAGGAGAACACAAGGTATGGAACACTTGGAAACCATTTCCTGGATACTTTTCTGTGTACTCCTTTTCCTTCCACTCAACTTTCCATTATTATCTTTGGATACAGCACTCTGTGAATGGCCAGCTTGTTTATTGATGTCCTGAAATATATCACTCTGTGTGTGAAAAGTGTGACTTTAACTAAATTACTGAAATATTTAATGGAAACCACTTGAAGATCCCTTCCAGTAGTTCTTTAATGTGTAAAACACTTACATTTATACATTTTTTAACACAAGTTTCACTTAATGATGCAACCATTTTTCCTCAATAAGTCTACAGTGAGCATATCTTGTGACTGATCCATTGTTACTGTATGACTGTGAGGAGGGCTGACATGTTCCATCTGTGGATGTACTTCTCCAGAAGATGCTGGAAACAGTGGTCAGGGGTCATTCAGTCGTCCAATAAATAGATGAGTGGGGAGACACATGGGGGTCAGAGATGACGCTCTTTTCTCTGCCTCCTTTGCATCTTCTCCCTCCAATTGTCAGCCTCCCTTTGCTCTGTGTGTGTGTCTGTGTGTGTGTGTGTGTGTGTGTGTGTGTGTTGTTGTTGTTGATGGCCAACAGCAGATCTATGTTATTGATTGACTCCTGTGGCTGCTGGGCTGCCCACTGGAGGAGGGGGCAGAGCTCTAATGAATTCCTGCTCCTTGTGCCCCTTGCGCCAACCCCTACACCCCTTTCTTAATTAACTTTGTGTGTTTCTTGTGCGTTTGTGTGGGTGTGAGTGCAGGTGAGATGGGTGTGTATGTGTCTGTTTCTGCATGTGTGTGAGTGGGTGTGTGTGGATGCATGCAAGTATGTTTGTGTCGTTCCTCCCCTGCTCCACTCCCCGCTCTCTGCTCTTCCCTACGTTTTTTTTTTTTTTTTTTTGGCTTTATCTGCCTCCTCTCTTTATTCTTCTTCTTCAGTGCTATATCTTTTTTTTCTATCACCTGATGCGTCTGATAGTTGCATGGGTAAAGACAAATAATATATGTGGATGTCTCTGAGCTGCACAGAACAGGCTCAGACTGCAGTTTCATTTTCTCTTCTGCTAATTTCTGTTTTGCATGCCCCCTTACCAGACTGGTGATATTCTTCACTTTGCTTATTCCCCTTTGCTGTGTAATTTCAGTTGTCTGTTATGTGACAACCACAGATGTCAGTTTGAGATAGACCAACAAAAAGTATTGCAAAGTATTGCATAACTGTGAAGGTAAAAGAAAATCATGCAGGATTTTTATTTTTTTCACATACAAAAATCTAAAAACAATAAATACATTGGTATTCAACATTTTAGTGTCTTTGAAGAACCACATTTTTCTACAATTGCGGCCCAAAGTGTTTTGGTGGTATGTCTCTACCAGCTTTACATATCTAGAGCCCTAAATGTTTGTCCCTTTTCTTTGCAAAAAAGCTCAAATTTGCCACAGATTTTGAGCTGGATTTAAGTCAGAATTCTGCATGGCCTATTCTAAAACATTAATAAAACCCTTCCATTGGAGCACTGGCTGTATGTTTACGATCACTGTCTCTCTGAAAAGTGAACCTCAGTCTGAACAGTTTTGCAGCTTAAAGCAGGTTTGCTTCCAGTATTGCCCTGTATTTAGCTCCATCCATCTCCCTATCAACTCTGGGTTTCTTCTTGCCAACCTCCCATAAAGGCTGGATTTGTGGAACATATGACTAATACGCTACATAGGTGAGTGTGGCTCAGTGGGAAGAGTGGTCGTCTTGCAATATGAAAGTTGTGGGTTCCATTCCAACTTCCCCCTGCTACATGTTGATGTGCCTCTGGGCAAGGCACCTACCCTCAAGTTGCCTATCGGTGTATGGATGTGTCGGTGTTTGTGAGTGCAACTGGGTCAATATGGCTCTAGTGTAAAGCACTTGAGTGGAAAAGCGCTATATAAGTTCAGTCCATTTCATAGTTGTCCTTTAGACAGAATCTCCTGCCTCAGCTGTAGATTTGTGCATCTTTCCGAATAACCCAAGGCCTTTTGCTGCTTCTCTAGATAATGCTCTCCTTTCCCAGCCTGTAGGTTCAGGTAAACATCCATATCTTGGGATAATCACAGCTTTGCCATTGTCATTCTATGTACCCTTATTAATTCTAGAAGCAATTGTTTGAACTGTAACAGAGAAATTGGGGCTGAATACAAATTCATGCCACACTTTTTATTACATTTTTTTTGTGGCTATAACATTATAAATAAAAAAATTATGGGGTATCAATAGGTTTTTAAGGCTGTATGTCTGAATGTCTTAAGCTTTCTGTTGAGAAAAGTCACACATCATCATGCACAGCCTCCCACCTCCTTTAAGGAAAATCTGCATTTGTCCTCAGATGTCTGTATTTGCTTTAGATGTAGACAATCATTCGTTCAAAATCTTGAAGCCGTCGAAATGTCTCTTTTCTAACAGAAAGTATCGTTGCATCAGGTAAATGTCAATTAGGAGACATTGAAAGATGTCTTTGTGTGTGTTTACTCCTGTGTGTGTGTTTGCTTAGCTGTCGTCAACAATCTTGGTCTGACAGTCTTGCAGATCTACAGTGAAATATCTTCAGCTGACAGCATCTCCCTGCTTTCAGCAACTCTAATGGCTAAATGCACACATGCAGGTGCAACAAACACACTATGCCTGTGTCTGCCTTGTTTTCTGTCCCTCACCGTCTTTTTATGATCTTCTTGTTTTTAGTGTTGACTGGTAATGATGAGGTATGTTAGGGAGTCAAGCAGAGAGGGAGATGAATCAGAGCAGTGATGCTTTGGTACTCGCTCCTGAAACCTCTGCATGTAAATGCAGAATTTTTATTTTTATTTTATTTTGCACTTTCCATCATCAGGTCAAACCCTATAAATTGCTAGTGACAACTTTATGAGCACACTGTAAGAGTTTTTGTTGTTTTAACATGCCTTTTTTATCCGCTTTGTCAAAAGTGACGGGATTTTCAGTCTGTGGGGAACCATGTAATCCCTGAAATTAATTATCACCGTTCTCTGGGATGCATCAAACATTATTAAATTTCTTTTTCAGGTCTTTTAAAAACATTTTAAGTCACTGAGTCAGATCTGCATGTTCATCCTTTGTTGTCTATTTTTTTCTGTTCAGGGGCAGACGTGACCGAACCCAACAGCTCAGACAGTCGAGGTGAACGCCTCGAGTTTTTCCTCAAGCAGGAAGAGGCTCTCACCACAGAACCGGGCTTCCTGGGAGCAAACGAATCGGAGGAGGCTGGTGGAGGGGTGGGAGGCGGAGGCATCTCATCTGTAGCCAATCTGAAGGCAGCCCTTATGAGTAAGAACAGCCTGCTGTCGCTGCGGGCTGAGATGATGGGAGATGATAACCCCTTGCTGTATGAGTACCTGCCCAAAGGAGGACACTCCCTGTCCTGTAAGTATCTGTTTACAGAAACTGCTCACACTGCTTGTTACACACATCTGAGCCACAGGATTTAACTTAGAGTATCTCGAGATGTCGTCCCCTCAGATGCAACATACAGTGCCTTGCAAAAGCATTCATACCCCTTGAATTTTATTTTACTTTTTATCATATTAACAACATTCAACAATTTTGTTATTGGAATCTTATGTGACACACCAACACAAAGTGGTGCATACTTGTGACATGGAAGGTAAAGGATACACGGTGTTTAAAATATTGTACAAATAAAAACTTGAGAAGGGTGGCATGCATATACAGGGGTTGGACAATGAAAATGAAACACCTGTCATTTTAGTGTGGGAGGTTTCATGGCTAAATTGGACCAGCCTGGTAGCCAGTCTTCATTGATTGCACATTGCACCAGTAAGAGCAGAGTG